CAACTCGACGGGGCATGCTGGAGTGCGACCGTTCTTCGCCGAAGCAAACAAAAGCCTGCGCATGCCTGGCGTCTGTGCCTCTTCTACTTCCCCACCACCCATGATCCTCACTTACTGCTACGCCTGGGACGTCGGGCGATCAAGGTTCAGCACAGCAACAACAGCATCACTCGCATCAGCATCAACACCAACATCAACACCAGCATCACCAACATCAACATCAGCATCAAAATCTACACAATCAGCATCAACAATCCCAATCACAGCAGTCAGCACATCACCACCATCAAAGTCATGTATCTGCGCCTGTCACAAAAGAAAAGGTGAGAATAAATTTATATTCAGAACAAGATCATTTTTTAATTTGTGTATGATAATATTATATGGAATGTGTGTGTACTTGAGGTCACTCTTCACTTAATGTTATCACAGTATTATCTCAAACAAGAAAACGTTCGATCACAAATGTCAATGATGTTTTGAATTTTCCTTCAAATATTCGATTATATATATTTTTTTAAATAGATGTTATTAATGCTTCGAGCAACAATGGGCATATTGTGACACTTATTTGGTGCAAATGAGGAGCATTTGAAGTCGGGCAGGTCGGATTGCAAATAAGTAGGCTTGTTTCCTAGAATTTCACATGTAGTTGTTGACAACAATGGCCATTAAAGGGTCAATTTCACTGACTAATAATGTTACTGCAACGATACGACGGGGCATTAGTTATAACTTACGGATAACGCATTTTGGAACGTTATATTATTAGATTAATAGATTAAATTTATATTCTTCTACCCGGGGCAGTTGGCTTGAATATTTTATGCCATGCAACTTTAGTAGTGAGTACCTAGAATTCATAAACTTAACAATTTTAAAGGCATGCGTTATGTTAAATTGTCCATTGTGTTAATAGCAAATATTTTCAAAGTTTTTAATTGATGATAAGTTTTACCTATTTCCTCTACGAAAACTCTCATTACGACGCGACAATTAAAATGATTTTTTTCAATATTTTGTGCTCTATTGTTAGCCTAAGAAACATGTAAGGCCGGTAGAGCATTGACATTTGCTACAATTTTCTTATTACACATTCCACGCCTTCCATGACACTAGAATGTTTGCTAATGTGTGTGCAATACGTGTGCTGCAGTGTGCAGCGTGTGTTTCAACAACGCTGGCGGACGATGCAGCAAATACCACTGCCTACGACAAGGTGAGCTTCTGTTTCAGCGTTGCATGCCGTTATTGATACTATTACAGATATTATAGAAGTTCCCACAGAAGCTTTGCGACTACGTAAAGGGACTCTCTTTTACTTCTAATAAAATAACGTGCCAGCAATTTTGGAGAGAGATATGCTTTTAACAATGAAGGGAAAAACCAAAATACATTTTTTTAAATTTATTTATCAGTTTACAGTATTTCAGTAAAACTCTTTTCTGTGCGGACGTTCAGATGTGCAGATGTGCTTTGTAATTCCGTCGCTAGCATCTAGACCACTTCTCTTGCACCAATTTGAAGTGCGACTCGGTGTCCTAATGGGGAACTGATAATTCGCTTTTGTTTCTCGCTAGAAGATTTTTACAAAATCCAAAAGCCAGTCTTTTTGTGATTTAGCGCTGCGATCTTAGTGATAATGCCAGGACTTAAACCAATGCATTCTAAATCGATCTATGCAGGTTGCGTTCATTGAATACCAGACCTAATGGCATTTTTTTCTTTATGCGCGGTCATTTTTTTCATGACGTTGGCAACTTTGAGGATGACAACTTTAAGTCAACAATTGAGTTACAAAGGAAATAGCGCAGCAGTATGATTTCAATGTACAGTCGAATTATTATTGCAATTTTTAAAAATATTTGCGAATTCCTATGACGAGTATTGTCACAGAACGTATTGAACTTGAAGAATTTAAAGTAAATACGAAGAAAACAAAACTGTGTGTAGTGCTAAAGAATGGTTGAAAGTTATGTTCAACTTCTCACTTTTACGTTCTTACAGAAGTGTGCAAATACCGATTTTCAAATGAATTTCACCCCCAAAACTAATTCTTATTTAAATTAACTAACACTTAAACATTTCACATAAACATACAAAACAGTCTCTTTTAATGTTAGATTCACATACAAAACGATTAATAGAGCAATTGCAAAAGTAGAAGCGAACACAATCTGGACTGAGTTTGAGAAGTTGTAATCTCTTTAATAATTAGGGGAGACAAATTTGGAAGTTCCAAGGAAATGTGGGGAAGAATCAAATGTACTTGTTGCGATAGAATTTTCGGAACTAATTGTGAATGATCTGCATTTCTGCATTTAGCATTTGTGCTAATGCAAATGTGCTATTTACAGTTTTATCCGTATTACCAAAAAAGCGTAAAAATGTAGCTGTACTAAAATTTAACTATGGCATCAAAACTTGCAAGTATTTGTTATGGCGATTATAATTTTGAAATTCCAATAAGAGCAACTCATATCCCACATGGAGGCAACACACAAGGCTATTGAGGGTTGGGAACTTTTGAACAGAAGTATTACATTATCAACGTCTACGATTCTATGATATTTCTAGTGCCAGATACTTAAAGACCATATTTAAACAAAGATAGGCATGAAAGAAATGAAGTATGAAATAAATTTTCAACATATGAAAATATTTTAAAACAGTTTACAACGTCGGCGATGCTACATTTTGCTAAAAGTTTAAGTAAAATACATTATGTGATCAAAAGAATCCGGACACGTGGTTGAAAATGACTTACCAGTTCGTGGCGCCCTCCATCCGTAATGCTGGAATTCAATAGGGTGTTGGCCCACCCTTAGCTTTGGTTTCTGCTTCCACTCTCGCGGACCGACTTTCAGTCAGGTGCTGGACGGTTTCTTGGGGAATGGCAGCCCATTCTTCACGGAGTGCAGCACTGAGGAGAGGTATCGACGAAGGTCGGTGAGGCCTGGCACGAAGTCGACGTTCCACAGCATCCCAAATGTCTTCGATAGGATTCAAGTCAGGACTCTGTACAAGCTAGTCCATTTCAGAGATGTTATTGTTGATCGTGTTGAATGATGCAATCGCCATCCTCGAATTGCTCTAGAACATTGGGAAGCAAGAGGATGTTTAAAACATCCACGTAGGTCTGTACCGAGATAGTGCCACAGAAAACAAGGGGTGCAAACCTGCCATGAAAAACACGACTACACCATAACATCAATTTGGATGTGTCCGGATGCTTTCGATCACATACTTTACATTTTATTTTATAATACACATCGCTTTTCCACGTTTGCATGACTGGCTGTATGTCGGGATGTGGAAGATTTCCTAGCATATCTTAATAAATTGTGGAAGCAACTTACGAACTTCGATGTTTAACGGCCCACCGAGTAAAAAATATAACGATAATTTTAATTAATTGCGTTCCAAAACATAAATGCAATTTGAAATTTGGCGCATTCTGAAACGTTTTTCGAGATAATTTTATTCCTGCTTCGGACATTTAGAGTGCACACTTATCAGTTATAGTGTTATCACGTAGGCATTTGGTCATATAATTTTTAGCCTTAGCTATTAGCTATAACATTACTGTGTTATTCTATTACCTTCTGTTTTGTTTCTTGATTAATATTTTAATTACGGTTTTTCGACACTGATATCTCACTGTTTTCCGACTCCATTTCTAGCAGTAGAACGAGCAAAATAACCAATGCCAACAACTGAAGAACGCATTCCGTAATCAATTTAGTTAGCTCTTTCCTACTCCGAAACCGATGTCCCTTTTATGTTGGACATAATTAGTTAATTTCATGTAAAGGACGAAAAAGTATGAAATAAAAAAAATATGTTAAAGGGCTCGTAGTTCAAAGTAACAGTGTTAATTTAAGAGAGTTAATTTCTTTCTGTAAAAATTCACATTTTCACCTTACAAAACTTCTGCGAAACTATCCACAAATTACAGTAGTTTTGCGGTATTTCGAGTAGAAAAATACCATTAATATATTACAATTTGAGTGACCAGACCAGAAATATTTCAGAAAACTGCAAATTGTCACTCTAGAATGAACGCATTTCCCGTTGAATATTTCAGGTAATAAGAGCGATTGTTTCATGCTGCAATTTCTGTGTGTCTTATCTGTGACCTCTGTGTTATCTGCATGTGCTGCTCACGAGGATGGCCACATACTCCGCGTGGAGGACGTAAGAACAGCTCTACCGCGGCTCAGAACGGTTTGTTCACTCGTCTCTCCCTACTCCTCCGACTCGTAGTTTTTCCGCTTCGTGGAAACAATGTCGAAAAAGCTTACCTCGTGCCTCTTAAAGCTGCTTACAGAAAATACATTTTTATGACGAAAAGCTGAAGGGGAGAGGTAACCAGAAGCCAAAAACGTAGGAATTTTTAATAGAAAATCTGTCTCTGTAAGATGGACTTACGTGTGTTTTTAACTGGATGGCAAATTCAATGGGAAATCATATCAAATATTGCCAGTACGCAGTCTAAGTTAGAAAACTTAATAACTAATGATATTATGCAACATGAGTAAAAGTAAAATTATTAGCAAATGATGAAGTTGACGTAACTAATCCCTGCACACGTGTGGATCCAAATTCGCCTTCCAAGAATGAATATGGCTAAGGACATAAACATTAGATCTGAATAACTCCCCTCTCGTATGGTTTTAAAGAATGCATCTGACATTGATCTTAGGAAATTCGTGACCAAATTTCACAAATGTACAATTCAAATTGTTTTAACAGAATTGACGTAGTAGACTGTGTTATTTACATAATAATACAATAAACGTTTTTTTACTAAATGTTCTAAAATGAATTTAGAATATTGTGCGACAACCTGTCGTGCTATCATACGTTAGTGCCCTGGCTCAAATGAAAGCTTGAATATGAATTACGGAGATGTTAATATGATACAATTGCTAGTTGATAACTCTAATAATGGGGGCAGCAATGTTATTGATGATCCTTTGTTGCAATACTAAAACTCCTGATACGAAATGCTCACATATTGCATTATTATGTAAATGCCATTATAGTTGAAAAGGTATGTTCTAAACTAACGGCCAAATAGAACAATCATGAATACATGAACCGGCATGTGAATATTAACACTTTTCATTTAAAACGAATTTATACATACATTAATTTCCTCCATGTATGCCGTATGGACCAGATAATTTATTTGTTTACGGGTAGGAGGGGACAGGGACAGAATCCGGCATGTCTTTTTCCATTGTTACATCTTCGGCATTTTATACTAAATTGGCAATTTTTAACGATTTTTACAATGTTTCTTGATTTTAAAGCAGCATTTACCTTCTTTTTTCATACCTTTTAAACACCTTGCGAACAGCAATAACAGACATTAATCCTGACAGATGTATCAAACTAGAGCTCAAAGTTTTCAATTTGCTTGAGTTCTGCTCAGCATACACTCTTCCACACACCCCTTTACAGTTGACAAAAACTAAGAAATTGACTAACCTATTCTTCAATTCTACATCCGCTTTTGACATCACAAGTAACTAACTAAATCAAATTAGCTTACAGAAAACAATTAACAACTATGAATGTCAATTAATAATGCTTGTGAACGAATCGGAACTGATTTTCGACTAATTAAAAACCGATTACTCATACTCTGAAGAGTGAGTTTGTTTCAAGCGACCACAGCAGCTAATTAGATTGCAACAAATACTATATTTAGAGCAAACAGGAGGGGCATGCCCATGTGTTAATATAATAGGCGCTGCCATCCCCGCGTCGCGGCGGAAGTGGCGCCGCCTATCGGATTACGGGCGCGCGCATCACGTGGCGTCGTCTGCGCCGGCGTCTCCCGTTCGTTAACCGCATTCGCCGTCATTTCCCCGGCGTGCCGCGATCGATTCCCGGTGGCGGCGCGCGCCTAATTATTAAACGCGATTAGGGCCCGCGTTGCCCCCGTCCTCTCCCCGCCCCGCTGCCGCTCCCAGGGGGCGGCTGCGGTCGCGGAGGCAGCGCGCGCCGAAGGGGGGTAGGGGGTGGGGAGGGAATGAATAAAGAAAGGGGGGTGAATAAAGAAAACTACGCGAGAAATCATCTGGAGGAGTGGATCTCAATCTTGTAGGTTCTTCGGGCTCTTTATTCCACTCTAAAAACATTCTAGTCCTCGTGGCTAGCTTTGGCCAGTGTGCTCACTTTCCACTAAGCGACCCGGTTCCCGGTGAGGCAAGGTTATAGTCTGCGTTTGCCTTGCAATGTCCCATTTACCCATGACCGCGAGGCAAGGACATCGCCGGTAGGCCTGAGCCCGTTCACGGGCTGACATACATACAAAACAAACAGTCTCGAGACGCCCTTCAAGAACACGTACATTTACTAGTAAAGTAGATGTATTCATATGACAAACATGTTTTGTAATTTGTCTTACTTTATATAATGGTTTACGAAAATTAAGCCGAGTCATTTTATATATTTCCTTTTAATTAATAAGTGCTATAGAAAACAAATACTATGAAGTTAATTGATACAAGCAAGAAGTGCGTTTAACTAACGGGGAAATTCTGTTAACAGCAACTGAACATAATAGATTGAAATCTGATGGTAAACAACGTCACCGCCAAATGTGTAGTAGGGGTGTTATTACCGTAATAGATTCTGCACTGTCGCCTTACATCGTATGAAGAGGAAATATTGTATTCGTACTCCGGAAATAGGCGATATTTCCAACAGAAAATATCCTGTTGCCGGGCCCTGGTAACGCAAGACTGAATAATAATCGATCCTTGAGATCGCTGAAAACTGGCGGAGATCTCACTTTTTTTATTGAAATACCCAATTCCTTGAAAATTACAAAAGTCCAGAATTTTTCCGCGTCTTCTTCAAAGTATGATATCGAACATAGGACTTTTTTCTATAATGAAATCTGTTCATCAAGTCAGATCTTGAAATAAGATCATGCATAATTTTTCGAAAATATTGGTAGTTTACTAGTAATTTTGCATGAAATATAGACAGTTTTTAAACAAATATTTCCCCAAAAGAGCTCCAACTTTTCTTTAAATTTCTTCAAACGTATCATTTAACCGTCAGAAAATTTGGCGCTAGTCACTTTTCCGCGAACACTGCTTTTTCGAAAATTGCAAAATAACAACATTACGAAAGTCCAATATTAAAGAGAGCCTTTCATCTTAAATAAAATATCTTCTAAAAAATCTTCTCTTTAAAAAAGTCAGGTAATTGTATTTAAAAAAGATTAGTTTTGTGTAGTTTCTTCTTGAGAAGCAATTTATATTTTTTCTCAGTAACGGCTCCAAGTCTTTTATTTAATTTTTTTCCAGGGATGGACCAATGAACTTGAAAAAAATTGGTGCGGGTATTATTTATGAAAATCACTGAGAAAGAAAAAATAATAAAGAATAAAGTTTATTCCTAAATCTATTAAAATTGATTGCTTGAGTATATATTATATGTATGATTTTGATATTTGCCCTACTAACTCTACTCAAAACTGTGTATTTAATTAATATATTTTATTTATTTTTAATAATTCAGAACGTCAGTGGCATAGCCAAATTGGAGTGGGGGAATGAGACTTTAGGTTATATCTCTCACAGAATACAGATTTACAAATACATTTTCATTAATTCTTTGTAGTAATGAAAGCCATACAATAATTCATTTGGAAATGTTTTAAATAACTACTAAGAACGAAGAAATATAAATACAAAATACAGTATTAATGAAAAGTTATAATAAAACATCAAACGAATACCAAGGATTTAGGGTTCAATACTAATAATGTAGAGCAGTAGTCTAAACATGAACCCTCCATAAAAATTGTGGTTGCGTCGTGATAAAATATAATCGGGTTGAAGCTTGAGAAATGCCAATTCCAAGAAAAAGAATCACGAAACATTAACTATCTCAGTAAATAAAATATAATTCGAAGCTTTCCAACATAATCCCTTTCACTCGTTAATTATTCCTGACCGCCTGACCATTAACTTGCCCCGGGCAGTTCGTTGTGGCTTCGGCACAAGTGAATATTCCACGACCTGCCCTCGGGAAGAGCCTTCATTAAGGCGGCGGTGCCGATGCAGGGCTCGCGTTGCACCCAACGTGATTGAATGTACTACATAGAGGGGCTGAAGCGCCGTCATCTTTGCAGAAAGTTGAAGCCATGTTCCTTTTGCAGTCAAAGCAGCGCCCTCGGGAGAAGTAGAACATTTTAGTATTTCGTTTGGCGCTGGTTAAGGCCAGGTGTGCACGTAATATAAATCGTCTTACTCTGTGTTTCATGATCAAAAACCAATCATTTAAAAACGAAATCACAATATGTGAGGAGAACGGATTGAGAAACAGTGAAAACACGTTGCTTCCTCCATCGCTTGTCACAAGAATGGAAGCTGTTGAAATGCTATTGTAGTTAGTATAATGCCTGAAACTGAATGTTATTTCAATAAAAATCATACAAATAGATCGCAAATAAGACGGCAAACTAGAAAAATGAGATTTGGTGGTTTGACATCAATTTTTACAGTTTTATGTGGAACATACTGAAGGTATGGTGATTAATATTATTCTACCGACTAACAATTCTAACCACAAAAAGACAACAATATAGACTTAATATCTGATACAAACAACACGTCAATTAAGTACAACAGATCTACATGCCACCATGAGGCACCTCTCCTATTTTGACTACAAATAACATGACTGCCTCTAGTTCTGCGAGCATCCACCAAGAGCGCTGAAATCGTTGGGTCAGCCACTCTATGTAGTATATTCCAGCTCTTTGGCCGCATCACTCTCACGAGCGCCAGCGCCGCCCCGCCTCGCTGAGAGAGAGAGAGAGAGGGGGAGGGAGAGGGGGATGGGGAGGGTGCTTCTAGAGTACTCTTCCACGGCGCCTCCTCCGTTGCGGCACTGTCATCAGCTGTCGAAGAGAAGCAGCTGACGCCGCTGGATGGCCTGTAATCCCCTTCTACAAAGAGAAGGATTTCGACAGATTCCTGTCGATTCCGCACACATGTAATATGCAAAAAAGTAAAATAAAAAATGAATCCCTTTCATAAAACAAGCATTTTTAAATAACAAACTTATGTAAAGTTTTATTATGTAGAATGAACTTTAATAAAAATAATAGAATATTGCACCAATATTGTAAAATGAATTTCTTCGAAAAAATGTAACGAATTCAGCTTAAATCCATAGGTTATACGAAATAAGTTTACATTTTTTAGGAGGTTAGCAAACATTTTAATGAACGGATTTTTAATTTATTCCAGGCTGCGATACCTCAGTGAAAACACTGTTTCCTCTGAAATAGCGTTGGCCCGGAGGTCCTAGTATAGCGTCAAGCTTAGAGGGTTCAGTTGTAGGAATGCTGATAATGTGTTGTTGACATTATTAAAAGATGAAACAATTGAAGTCATCTTTGCCAACTCACAGCGCACTCCCTCCCGACTTTCTCCGCATGTAGCGCACATATGTATGCCGATGGTCAAGTCGTCGAAAGCCGGTCCTCTGAATACATCTATGTTGACAAAGATGATTTAAATTATTTTATTACTGCCTCAATGCATCAATTGATGTCACTGCCGAGTTTTTGTCCGAGACAATCAAGCGTTCGAATCCTGACGGTGGCTGAAGGACAATTCTCTTTGGCTTCTCTGATCCATGGTTTTCCGTGGTTTTTACGATCAGCACCAGGATAATGCCGCGGCGGCGGCGATGGTGTAACGGTTAGCGTACTGGACTGTTGTACCCAAGTTGGCGGGTTCAAACCCGATCGAAGCCGTGGATTTTTAAGGGCGAAAAAATCCTTCGTACGCCTTCCTTCGGAGGGGAAGTAAAGCCGGCTGTCCCATGTTCGTAGATTTACTTGCATGTAAAAGATCCTCAAGCCTAAATGACGCCTCTGAGCTAAATTCAAATCGCCTGTTTCTCGCCCAAGAAATACCTCCTTTCTCTCCTAGTTGGTGAAAGGGGCGTAGCGAAAGTTGCGTGGTCAGACGGAAGAGCGGGCCTGATGGCCCGAGTCTCGCCACGTAAAATAAGGCAAATTCAATTCAATTCAATTCAATGCCGGGGCAGCGTCCTAGGAGTACCTAGTACCAATCAATCAGTCAAATCGCAGAATAGCTGGGTCGTATTCAACAATTGTTTAGACTACACGACCACACATACCGGGACAGTCTAGAGCTTAAATACTCTCCCACCTGGAGCGGTGCACCTTATGATTGACTGGAGCATTGTGAGGGAGATATCTGAAGAAAGACAACCAGCAAGCAGACGTGAAGGTCGGCGGCGCATTTCACGTTGCACCAAGGGACGAATACCGGCAAATTCCGAAATAAAAATGCACTACACTTGTGAGACGAAACTCCGAAGTAATTAACGCACCCCGAATCAGGATTGACTTAATTTATTGTGAAAAACTGAAGATAAAAATTAGAGTTTGAAATATTGAACAATAAAATAAGATTAAATTAATTGAATTAATTTATTTCCTTCTCTAAATTACGTATGTAAGTGCCTACGTCTTCGAGTGCTCGTTATGCGTGCTTCCTGCCGTCTCTTATCGCGTCGCAGTCCCGCGTGGCGTTCTGTGTATGCTCCATGACTACCGTTTCCGAGCGAATCGCCTCGGGGGGATTTCCCTGCCGTCGCGTCTGCGCAGCGCGGCCGCGCTCTCGGGGATTCCCCCTCGCGCCGGGGTCCCAGGGCGCGCGCTGTCGTGCGCCTCCGTGACACTCGAGACGGGCGCTGCCAGCGCCTCCTCCGCCGACACGACACGCGCACGCCCTGTGGATGACGCCATATCCCCACGGAAGGGTTGGGGACAGGGGAAGGAACTTGCGGGCAAACTTCGCTCGCAGAGACAAGTTTATTCAGTCTAATGGACATTAAAGAACTTCAATGTATAGAACGTTGTTCGTAATTGCGTTTATCATTATAATCCCCCTAAATTATAGATTCAAAATTCGCCGTTTCCGGATAACAATTACGTAACTTTCTGTTCTTATGAAGTAAAGGTGAGAAAATAAAATGGTTATGTGACGTTAAAATATAAAACTTACTCCAGGTTGGAAGTAACTTAATAAGGAGCACTTCGAGTGTCTGTGGGCGCACGCGCTACTTAAAAGCTAACTTACGACAAGGTGATGCAACATTCCGAGAGGCTCTGCACCCATTTGCCCTTCTCCGATCAAAAGGCGGTGGCTGACGGCGTTTATTTCCTAAGGGTACGTTTATGTTGGAGCTGCGATAAACGATGAAAGCAGCGCTGCGAGCCAAGCAACGAG